ATACCGAGCTTCCTTCGGGGAGACGCAAGACTCGGGTGCGGGGGACGCGGGTTGGCCTGACGGGGTCCATCATAAAAATGACGAGACGCAATCAGAAATTTGACGCGAGCTCCCACTGCAAACATCCCACGAAAACTGGACCGTCAAAACCCACGACGCGCTCGTCAAACACGTCGGCAAGCCCGAGTTCCGGCTCACCCGAGTCTTGCGTTCCCCCGATTCCTCTCCACTGACCGTCATCCACAGCTCCACAGAAGCAGGCTGCACCGCTCGGCCCGCCCTGGGGAGGGGGGTGGCGGGCCGCGCGGGCTCTCCGGGCCCCGCGAGAGAGGCCGCCCACCAGAGGCGCGCCCCCGCGGCAGGGAGGCCCGCGAGCTCTCCGCCACAGGCGCCGTGGCAGTCGCAGTCCCACAAGACGAAGCCAGGACGAGGACGACATCGGGGAGGATACTGGGGCGAGGGCGAGGATGGGAGGAGGACAGGACGAGGACGACGTGGGGGAGGACAGGATAGGACGAGGCGAGGACGACGAAGTCGAGCACAATCCGACAGGACGAGGACAACATCGGAAGAGGATGCATCTAGGGGAACGAAAAATGAGACAAACAAAAAAAACTTGGGGGTCCGCGCGGCTTTCTCGGATCGGCGCTGGACGCCCCTTCCACGGCGCGCGGATCGCGCCGGGGGCGGCGCCGGAGGCGCCGCCAGGGGGGCCCAGCGCCGATCCGAGGTTTCCGCGCGAAACTCCGAGCTTTTATGTTTGTATTTTTGTTCGCTCCCCTAGATGAATCGGGAATCTCTGAGATCTGGCGGTTCTGGAAAATTTCTCGGGCGCCGCGGCCTTCTCACAGGGTTCCCCAGAACGCTCTGGGAGAATTCCGGAGAACCCTCTGGAACGGATGGATCCTCATCCTGTAGCCCCGCCCGGTCACAGGTGGCGACATCCGAGCCCTACCCCCAACAAGCATCGATTCTCCTGAATCGGTGGGAGGCGGGGGTACCGTTGAAGGAAAAAAACTGTGCATCAAGAATTGGGCGACCACTTCGAATGCCCCCCCCCGCAAACCCCCCATGGCCTTCCTATCGAGCAGTTGGTCCTGGAGATGAACGGCTGGAAAAAACTGAACCCAAGATCTCGATCGCAATGCATTCCAATATTAAGGCGGGGGTTGGAGGGGGGAATTCGGGTCTTTTTCATCGAAGCGTTGTTGATACACAATGTTTTCCTTCAACCATATATGGCTCGGATTTCGTCACGTGTTCCACGCATTCTGGACCCCACCCCCGTCGCCCTACGAGTTACCTGAACTGTCGATCGGCGAGGGTAGGGCTCGGATTTCGCAACCTACTTCTGCAGAAGACGGGGAGGGCCCAGGAGCAAGAACGAGGAACTCAAATCCTCCTCGGAAGCCCGCGCGGATCTCTTGCATCGGCGCTGGACCCCCCCCTCCCTGGCGCGTGGAGTGTGCCAAGGGCGGCGCTGGAGGTGCCGCCAGGGGGAGGGGAGGGGGGCCCAACGCCGATCCAGGGAATCATACTTGCGCCTTCCTTCGGATTCGGGACGAAAACAAGTGAGAGAGCTGGAGAGAAACATGAGTATCGATCACACGCCGCCGATGGGAACAAATCGGCGTGGCACCGCCGAAGAAGTGCGCGGAGCCTCTGAGCAGAGACGAGGGAGTGACGGAGTGACGTGCTGACGGGCTGCCAACGGCGGCGTGTCATTGATACTGCTCTGGAGAAGAGAAGGACGGTCCCGACACCCCTATAGGCCACCTGCCACCAGCTGTCCTCATAAGAAAAGGATGTTCAGAATACAGCCCAAGCTCTTATAATACAGGCCGATGTGTTCAAACAGGGCTGTCTCAGCCAGAACAGTTCTCACTACGTTTCGCGAAAACAACAAGCGGTTTTTAGGCCATTCTTTCGTGGGCCCCTTCCCGAAGAACGGAGGGCGAGGATGAGGGGGAGGAGGAGGACGACGCCGACGCCGAGGCCGAGGCGAACGACTGGACGGGCCCCGAAGCAGCCCCGACCTCGCACAGCCCCTGCGAGGCAAGAGGCCCGGCAGGCGCGCGCGCGGGGCGGTGGGGCCCTGACGACGCGCTGATGCCTCGATCCTCGCTGTTCGGAGCCTCGATGTTCGGACCTCGAGATTCGAGGTTCGGACCTCGAGATCGCCGCTGTCTCGCTCCACGAGGCTCGCCCCTCGAGGCTCGGACCTCGAGATGTAGGGCATTCTGGCGCTTTCCTCGGCTCTCGGCGGTCTTCCCGCGTCGGGATGCGCCCCGGCAGCCGCTCCGCGCCGAGTGGCAGCCGGGGGCGCCCCGGTCGTCCCGAGCGGGCACGCCAAAGGCCCGAGGCGCGCGCCGAAGCCCACCGGGGATGAGGTGATCTGTGGGTTTTTCGCGCGGGGGGTCCCTGAGATCTGTGAGTGGTCTGCTCCGGGCATCGGTTGGAGAGAGGGAGGAGGAAGAGGCGGCAGGGAAAAGAGCGACGATCATCCTGCCGATCCACTCGTCCCTCTGTCCACCGCGGGTTTCAGGAGTGGAGCATGAAACGGTACGAACCAGCCCCGAGAACGCATCAGCGCCAAAGGGGGGGGGAGGCCGAGGAGGAACGGGAGGAAGAGGGGGAGCAGTAGGAATAGAGGGTAGCGGCAAAGGCGGTTTGTGTAAGTGTGTGTCTGTGTCTGTGTCTGTGTCTGTGTCTGTGTCTGTGTCTGTGTCTGTGTCTGTGTCTGTGTGTGTGTGTCTGTGTGTGTCTGTGCGTGCGTGCGTGCGTGCGTGCGTGCGTGCGTGCGTGCGTGCGTGCGTGTGTGTGTACATCCCATGTTGGCCAAAATCCCATTGGTTGACATCGCTTGCAAGACAAAGCCAACGCTTTTTTGAAGCTCCAGGCTACGCACAAGGACATCCCCTCCGGGTAATCTAGGCTGGCACCAACAGGCCCGGCACGTTCGCCAAAGCGTGGGCCACTACGTTGAGACAACACGCAGCGCATTGGCACGGACGTTCGCCCGCTCCCCTCCCATTCCTTTTACACTGCACGGACGGCCACAATGACAAGAGCAAGATACAGCGGCACTTTGCCGCGCGGACTGCCAGCACGGTACGTGCTGCGTCCAGAGACGGGCGCAGGGAGGCAGCTGCAGCTGAGCGCGAAGGGGCTCGTCGGGGGACGGAACCTGCGCGCGGGAGGGGGAGTGGAGCAGACCGAGCAGAACACCGCGCAGACGTCAGCTCTCGGAGGCCCGGGCAGCGCTCCTGGGCAAGCGCCCGACCTCCCCGCCCGGGACGCGCGCGGAGGCCAGGAGCTGCGCTGGAGGCGCCTGCCATGGGGTGGCCAGCGCCGGCCACCGCAGCCCGCGCGGGGCCTCGCTGCACGTGTGCCCCTGCTTCCTCGAGCAAGGAAGGGTCTGGGCGGCCATGCAGGGCCGGTGCGGCCACGCGGGCCGTGCTGGCCGCGGTGGGAGAGCCGCCCGGTCTAACTGCAGCTATGTCCACAAGCCGCCTCCCGTCAAGAGAGCTGCGGTGCGAAGTTGTTTTCCTCACGCTCCTCCTCCTGGGACAACGCCTCCAGAGGTTCGCCGCCGCCGTCACAGTCCGTCAGCGCGTCCGCCAACGGAGGTGATACAGGCACTTCCACAGTGCCGGTCCTGAGAGCCCTGTTGGCCCGAAGGGCCACGAAGAGGGAGAGGACCACGAGGAACGTCGTGATGCTGATACTCGAGATTATCTGATATGAATGATGGGGAAAGAGGGGCGGCCGCCGCAAACAGGATTCGCACTCCAGAGAGGCTACTCACTGAATGGCTTGAGCCAAAGCGGCAGTCACGCCGCTTTGCCGTATACATGCCTCTCTGCACGCTGGGCACTCATGCTTACCCTCCCTTCTCCCGGGAGGACATATACACATCAACTCGGGGTGGGAAAAACTCAGCGAAAGTCTACGAGCTGATCCCACGCGTACGCACTGAGGGCACAGCAGATTCGCTTACGCGGCTGGCCCGCCACTTGCAACCGACCTCTGATAGGCAAGTTGCCAAAACAAACACACAGCGCTCTCTGTGGGAGCACCCTAAACACAACACGGGAGCTCCCGAGGCTAAAAGAAGTGGACAGACGGCAAAATACATATATTCACATAAAGAGCACATCAAGAGCTACTGCCAATACCACAGTAACAGACAAACAACACAGCGAGGAGCAATACGACTCGCACCAGTCACATGTAAGGCCTACCGCAGTGTAGACACAAAAAAGATATAGGGAAAATATCCTCCCTGCAAAGATAGTAGTCCAATCTTCATCAAAAGAAAACCTTGCAATCCATCGACGTATGTAAAGATAAAGACTCACTGATATTCCCCCTCACTGGCGTCCTTGTGAGGACTCCGCAGGCACAGAGCCAGAGGTTCATCTCCAGTTATCATCAAAACTGCCGTCTCCCATAGCTTCAAGATAGGTTCTCGAGCCAATCCGCCCTTGGTCAACGCGTCGCTGATCATGGCTCTAGTGTCCACCCACCAGAGCTTACAGAGAGTACCTGCTTCAAGTCTGTCACGTAGAGCTCTCAGCAAATACAGAAGGTGAGGTTCCGCTGGTGCCTTCAGCTCGGTGGCACCCAGCGCCGTAAACAAGCCCCTGTTGTCCGTGCAAATGTGCAAGTCAACTGGTAGCCTTCCGGTGTCCATGCATTTCTGAATCTGTTTCGCCGTCAAGGGGCCATGAACGATCTCGCACACCATAACTTGTGTCAACAAAGCATTGCTGATACCGTCATCCACACTTGCCAGCTCCGCTGAGAAAGTAGAACGGCATACTCGAGGTTGCTTTCGTGAGTAGAACTCCACCGCTGCACATAGTCCTCCTTTCGGCATGAAGTCCCGACCAGCAATCGCGATAACTGCCGCTATCACAGCCAGGCAGTCCGGCTCGGTCGCACGAAAAGCACTGTCGGGGAAACCCACAACACTCCATGGCAAAGGTACTGAATAGTAGACAAGCGAACTCTTCTTTCTCTTGATCCACCGTACAACTGAGTTCAAATGTCTGACATGTTTCCAGCAAGGTTCATGAGCGTGTCGCTGTAGATACCCGATATGGACTGCAACATCTGCTCGCGTGACTAACATCCAGGCTGCTCCACCCAAGAGTGACCAAAATGAAGTTCGGTCTTGAGAATCGAGGGCTTCTTCATCAGCTCGAATCTTGTCTACCTGCATTGGCCGAAGTTGAGCAGCGTAATGATCCTGCGAGCACCACACCGATCCGTCTTCATGCTGATCATGAATGACGCCGCAGTGCTCGAACCTTCTCTTCTGCCTTGTGAGTTTTCCGAACTCCGACTCAAGAGCATCCATGAAGGCGTCAGCAATCGGTTCGGTCGAAGCTCCCTTGAGATCGTCCACGTGGGTACTGCACGCCATCTGCAGATCCTCAATTGCTGTGTTCGGGTCAGTGAACAACACGTCTGTGCATCGATCCGCTTCCCTGTCAGCGTGCAGGGGTACCAGTTCACGAGGTACCGGTTCACATCGAGAGCCAGCCCATTTGCAGTAAAATTGAGAATCGGTCACCAACGGCAAAAGCTGAAGCTTCGTCATTACTTGTTTTAGCCTGAGATTCCATAGCCTTGGCGCGTCCTTAAGACCGAAACCTGGACGTACCATCTCCAAGCAATGCCTACTCACATCATAGTTGGACAACGGCTCAAACTGCCTCGCGATCTTCACCGTGTCCTTGGGCAGGTCCAACTGAACGGTTCTGAGAGGTTCCCCTGTCATATCTGCCACATCTTGAAATGTGAGTCCCTTCAGAAATGCGCTGCCAACATCACAGGACCATAACATCCACTTGGGTCGACTGGCCGCGATGAAGTTCACTATCCTCTGGCTTTGCCTGGAGGCAGTCGCACTGAAAGTGTCCAGACGATCCTGCTGCATATCCTTGAAGCCCTTGATGCATAGTCGCGCTTTGACTGCCAACTTGCCGTCTGGCTGCTTCTTCCAGCGGATAACCCATCGAGAGTCCATCAAGTTGGTGCATCCTTGCCTGCTGCGTTGCTTGAGCGCGCCCAACTCGATCCAGTTGCCTAGCTCCTTCGACATAGCCTTTTCCACCTCCACTCGATGCTTAATCAGGTCCTCCTTGTTGAGTTCGTCAGCCTCTCGTTCAATAACCATCTTGGTCTTCCCTGTCGAGTTGACGGACAGAATAATGCGGTGTCCCTCGTCGTTCGCAAAGAGGGAAAAGATCTCTGACTTGGGAAAGTCGTGCGTATCGGAGGTCATGATCACAAGCCTGGAAATCTCCGATCCAAACTCCACCTCCAGAGCTTGCGTCTCCCTTTCTGTACTCTCAAGATGAGTAGCCACCTCAACAGCTTCCAACACTCGGGAATCTAACCAGTACTCTGCATCAGGCGGTGATCGTTTGTCAAGGATGGCACGAAAGAAACTGAACTCTGTCCTCACGTGTCACATCCATCCAGGATCCCAAGGTTCCAACCACAGATCCTGCACATCTGAATTGTCGTCTGGCTCGATACGGTACGGCTGTTGAAATGGTCGCCACGTAGGTCTTAGCAGTTCGGGGTCTGCCTCTGCATCTCGGGGATGAGCTACCCCTTGGGCCTGAGGCTCAGATGCCACGGATTCCTCGTCGATGGTGGCCTCGGGTGTCGGCCAGCGATGCCATCGATCCGATCGTTCGTCCACGTCATGCGGATCGCGCGGCCGTACCTGACCGCGCGGTGCTGGAAAGTCGGGCATCTGATGCGGTCCTCCAACATGAGGGACGTGAACATCAATTTGCCGCAGAACCTCGGCTGTAGAAATTTCCACCATTAGAAACTGCACCCAGCACACGCGCCCGAAACCTGGCCCCATCATATGTTGTGTACTCGCCTTCGCTCGAGGATCGAAACTTGCATGGTGATAGCCAATCGATTCTCCTGGAAACCACCATACGATCATGCATGTGTGATGGCCTCGGGCAGCTGGAACTTCTCGCGAACCGTACCCCAGTCTCGTGGCTACGACTCCATATAGTTGAAAGTCGCAGGCAGCCACGTGGAAAGCTGCCGTCGTCAGAGTCGGCAGCCTACGACTGGTCTTCGTCATCCTCCAGTGCCCATCCTCTCCGATCTCATATCCCAGGAGTAACGTCGTGCCCGCCGCCATGTTCTCCACATAGTATACTAAGAGCTGGTACGGCTTGGTGTCCCCGCGGCCAGGAGCCGCAATCAGAGTCCACCATGTTACTGCCTTGCGAACATCGGCCGGTCGGCACGGTAACGTGCGACCCTGCCATCTCACGTCTATGATGCCCTCGTCAGCTCGATCCATGGCAACTACCTTGCAAGGTCCCCGCCAGCCAGTGACATCCTTGTTCGGCGGGTCCCTGAAGATGTCCACCGAGTCACCTACCCGAAGGTCTCCGAGCTGAGCCGCTGGTCTCGTTCGCGTGCGAGCCGCTATCTTCAGCCTCTCCTGAGCGTTGCCCTGCACGATGTTGGCCAGAGCCAACTCTCGGACCCGATGAACATGGCGAGATACTGAGCCTCCCGACTCGTCGTCGAACTCAGATCCTCCCCCTCCGAGCTCCAGTAGAATGTTCGGAACCCGACCATACAAAGCCGCATACGGGGTAGTTCCGTGAACGCTGAGGAGGGTGTTCATGGCCAACAAGGATTCATCCAGCAACTCTTCCTTCGAAACTCTGATGCCTTCCTCATTTGCTTGACTTCTGACTCGATGATACTGTGTTCGAAGTAAGTCATTCCTCCGTTCAATAACATGCGCGCGCGCTCCTTTGGGCTTCGGTCTCAGGTCCACCTTCCAGCGATCTGCCCAGATAGCTCCTTCATCCGAGAACAATGCTCCCTCCTGATCTGAAGTGATGAACTTCGGAGGGCCATGGACTCGAAACCAAATATGAGTGATGGCCGGGAGTACATCACCCGGCTCTTTTGACTTCACGAATAGCCCTTGAGCCCATCTGATACACATATCGATCAAGTGCACCACGATACCGTCATCCAGGAAAAGCAAATCAAACTGAATTCCTTCATTGAAGGTCGTGGTGAACGTTAAACTTGTCATCGGCTTTTCGCCTCGTCGCTGCCATTCTCGACAGACGGTGCAAGTGTCCACGACGTCCTGCACCATATTGATCACTTCACGTGGTAGCCCTGCGGCTGAGAGAAGGTCTCGTAGTCGTTGGGCTGGAGCGTGCCAGAGTCGTATATGCATACGACGTAGAGTACGTTGCACCATTCCAGGAACCGCTGATCTCAGCCCCTGAATAGCACGTCCCATGTCCCACTGCGTCCAGTCCGCTCCTGTGTCGATCTGGGCCATAGCATCTTGAAATCTGCGCCTCCTCAGTGCCACCTCGTCTCCGCTTGCCCCGGCCGGAGGTCCTGGTACTCCTGCAGGAAGAATGGCTTCCTCCGCTGCTGCATCCGGAGCCGCTCCAGAGGGTCCAGCTTCAGGATGAGGTTGTACGTCATCATCGCCTTCCCGAGCTGCTGCCGAGGCAGCACCTGAGGGTCCGGCTTCAGGACGTGGGGCGGCGTCCTCCTCTTCTTCTCCTGCTCGAGGATGTACTCGATGTCCGGCACC